GTATTCCCTTCGGTGTTGTTATAGTGTCTGGGAAAATCCATGCTTCCTCGGGGGCATTTCACTATCTACTAAAGTTCTTCCACGTGCGTTCCTGATTCCCGGAATATCGTGAAAGAAATGCGCGAGATGTATTGACCTCTTGGATCCTTCCAGTGCAGTGCCGGAGGTGTAGTGGCCTGGAAGCGTAGGCCCGGATAGACTAGGTACTTCCGTTAAGTAATACGAGGTAATCGAGAAGGTTAGAAAGCCGAATGCGGTAGTGGACTTCGGGGCTAATTGCGCTCTAGCAAGGCTGAAGCCGGAAGCAGAAATGGTGTTGAAAAGTTTTAGTACCCAATCCTGTCCTTGTGAATCTACCCTTATACCTTCAGTGATGGTAGGGCCGAGTTCTACGTTTTGACAAACACCACTCAGTGGGAACGGTTGTAAGCGGTCCTCGCAGCGGTGGCACAATTGCTAGCTTTCCAGCCTAGGAGCTTAGGAATACATACCCAGGCTATCTTTGAGAGGTTATCAGCCGGAGAGGGCTAGTGGAAAGCCAGAAGTAAAGAGATTACCGTGTCGTAGAAAGAGAAGCAAGAGAGAAAGCTAGAGATTTGTAGTCTAGTCTTACTTTCTCTCCAAAGAGGAACCTAGCTTCCTACTTTAGTACAACGCCTAGTCAACAATTGTCCAGGCAAGTCGATGAAGCCCTTGTCACCTCCACTCCAAAACAACATTACCGGAGGCTTTCCCACTCGCAAAAGTATCCCTCAATTCACCCATTTGTCCCCCCTTCGGTAGTGTTGTAAGGCGCAGATGTAGAGTATATTAGAAGAAGTGTTGGTCGTATCATAATCGCCCGTTCCTCGCCGCACGCTTCTACTGTCCCTATGGGGTTTTCCTATTCCTCCTATTCCTCACGATCCTTCTACCGTCGGGCCTCTTTCCATCTCTTTGCTCGTTCTCTCGGTCGATGGGATGGTGCACCCCTACCCACGTCATGAGCGATCACGCGGAATAGCCTAAACAGGGAAAGCCAGCGAGTTTATTGCTGCATTTTTTAGCTCGCGTCCTCCGCCTGGGCAGCTCGTGTTGTTCGTATCTGAGTATTTCTTCATACTCTCAAAGGCTTCATCCATGATGCTTATTGATTGGTCTTTGTCCTGCTTTCTCGTTAAGGGTGTCATGCCGAATAATCTTGCTGTATAGCTAGACTATACCTTCTCCTGTATTACATACAACTCAATCGTTACCGGAGAATCTACTACTATTATTAGTACTCTTCTTCATAAAAGCCATTGCCCATTGCTACACTTCGCACTCCACTATGCTGGAACAGTCAGCGCTGTAACATCCCCGAGTATCCATCTGTTCAACACTGGTATTATCACCGACCGGTATTTATCAGTATTTAGTGCAGGGAGATTCTGCGCATTCTGCATCGCAGGGAACTGGTCTACCCGAGGATACACAGCAGTTAAACACAACTCAAAAATTGACCAATTATTTAATATCGCTGTGGCTTTTGATAGCTATGGCACGGGATTTCCAGTCCATCAGGTCGAACCACGAAATCACTTCCTCAGCAGGAAATAGTTCAGTAAAAGTCTTTAAATTGTTATTTATGATGCATCTCCGCATGGGTTGAGAGTCCGGGCAAACCCATCAATAAGTAGAAAGTTCACGATAAAGGCAAATTCACCCAGTATCATACCCGCCGTGGACCGGGCGGTCCTACGAGGGCCTTGGTCTTGGGAAGCCCGCGGGCTTTTTCGGCTTTCTAAAAATTTGTCCTCGGGTGAAAAGCCAATGCCATCCATAACGGCTGGTGGGTAAGGGTTGTCTCGAAGTGGGTCGAGGACGACTTCATCTCCACCGCCAATCCTGGGCTCCACATAGTTCAGGATCCACATCATCCTTTGGCCGCAGAGGAGGAGAATATAGGGGGGGGGGGCGGTAAGTGCCCAGTGTGGCTCACGATTAGATTCCTAGATTTTTAGGTGTTCAAATACAAGTTGGAAATGTCGTGACTGAAATTAAACTCTAAATCACATTGGTTTCCCATACTTTGATTGCCAAGATCCCACATGGGATCTTTGTGTTGATTTTATATTTAAATAATGGCTGAAAGGAAGTCATGTAACTATTAATATGAGAATCATGTAGGTTCACCTATCGTGTCGGCAGTATTGCACCGCTTTAGCCTTCGCGGACGCAACCTCAGGCTTTGGGATACTATCTTATGACACCTGAAAGAAGATATGTTTAGTCATACTCCTACTTTTTTTTCGCTGGCCAGCGTGCCCCCAGGACCGGACCTGGCTTTGGTGAGCCTGGCTCACGATATTGTGGGCCGCGGCAAGCACCGAACCCACCTATCATCCCACTCAAGATTTTCCCCTACGCCCAGCCATAAAGCATTCGCTAATAACCTAATTCCGGCCCTTCTGAGCTGATGTCACACTTCCTATCTCTTGGAACTTTTTTGAAAACTACCCTTTTAGTCGGCCAGTATCATATCTCAAACATGTGCATCGCTCCAAGGCCCCAGGGACAAGGAATGAAGAAAAGGATCAGGAATTCCCGCCTCCTGGCACTCCCCCAGCCTCCCTCGTAAAACTCCTCTCCACTAACAGGAACTGAGGGCCCCGTCCTTTCGGCTGCCCTAATCCCTCTATCCATCAATCCACAATTAACCCCTTGTCATTCTACCACCCCTCACACCTTAGCTAGAAAAAGTGATATATACACACATCGCTCAGCCCGGCCCAGCTTCAATCTCTGCCCTGGTGTTCCCCGCAGGAACATCAAAACCTGGGGTGACGGCTTGGGACACGTCTACTCGAGTAGCGAGAGGGAGGAGGCTCACGCACATGTGGCACCATTGGTGCTGATTAATTCGGCCGGGCTCTAGAGCTGTGGTGCTGGCTTGACATGGTGCTGTATTGCAACGGCCTGGTCAAAGGGCCTCTATTCCCGAACATGGAGTGGAGGTGTATTCTAGCTGAGTTGGGTAATGGTTACAGGTGGTGTTTGAATTATGCTAAGTTACCAGATGGGCCAGGGTGTTCAGGAAATAGCAAGATACCTCCGTATGGGCATCTAACGAACGGTGGACTGGATCTGCGATATTTATTAACATCGGAGTGTTGATTGGCAATTGTATAGTTCCTTAGTTCCTCCAGGCATATGGCAACACTGGTTGGTGTCACGGTCGCACTATCAACTGTAAAAACCCTCGAACTACTGAACAATGCGTGCTACGGGTATGTAGTTGAGAATTCCCTGCTTTGGAAAGCGCCGCAAAGAGGGGGAAAAAATAGAGCCGCTCGGCCCCTCCGAGTGACAGAAAAAAACGCAAACCTTACCAGAGGAGGCAACTCCAACAACATAGTTCTTGATTCGGCTGTTCGAGTTTATTACACAACACCACAGGCAGCACTGCTCAAACGACAGCAGTAATTCCATGTGTCACGTATAGAGAAATAAACCGGGGCTGTCCATCATTTCCACCAGGGCTGCCAAGGAGATGCACACAGCCTAAGCCGAGGACATGCACCAATCCACTTCTCGTAATGTCGAAGCGCTTTCGAAAAGAACTGCTATTGCATACCACCAAACGTTGGCCCTCTTACTCGGATCTGAGTGGTATGTAATAGCGGTTCTTTTTGAAAAACGCTTCAACAATACGAATGCTCGAATACCGCCTCCTACATAATACCCTCAAAAAGTGCAAAATTTTAATAAGGTGAGAACTGCACTCAATCCTCAGGTCAGGAAGGAAAAAAAAGAAAAATCCCCGAAAACCTCTAACAGCACTCCAGTAATGTGCGAAATTTAATATAATGAACCACCTGTGCATCCGCACACAACCGTACGCTACCGGTCCTCATCCTCCAACCAACCTCCGGCAAGCCAGGCAGCAGGCGGCAACTCGCCTCTCTGAAGCGGCACTCGTGGACAAACCCCAAATACAGCGCCCCGGATAAACTATCCCCCTCTCCCCACACCGCCGCTTCCCCGCGAATCAAATAAACCCACTCACTTACCGACATCATACACCCCCCCTCCCCTCCTCACCAGAGTCCGGACCAACAATTCGCTAGTCGCTGACAATCGAGTGAGCCTCCATGATGTCGTGCTGTGAGAACCAACCAACGGGAAGAAGGGATACAGAACAGGGTAAGACAATATCCCATCCCGTTGCCGCCAGGATGGCAAACGAAACAGCAGAGCCTTATCAATTCCGCTCCGGGCCAATAGCGGGAAAGTGCATGACCCTCGGGGCTGCGGGAGTGAGCTGTGGGGTCTGCTAGCTTCCGCCAGTTAGATGGGTGGACGCGGACCTTTGGATTTCGGTGCTCGGGGGCGTGCCATGGCCTGTTTTATGTCGTAGCCTTGGGAATACAGCAGGCCCAAGATGCTGCGGAGGTACGGTTGGGGAGCCTATACTCGAGTACTCGAGTAGACGGGAATACCATAATCTGCGGGATTTTTGGCCCTCTTTTTTTCCCCCGTTTTTTTCTTCGTTCCTTCCCTTCCTTTCCTTTACTTTCCTTTGTTTCGAAGTTGGGTTTTGTGGGCAATGTATGTGGTTCTACATACAAAGTTTTTTTACAAGAGTTTTAGCACTTGGATATATAGCAGTAGAAAAATTGGATCTATTGTGCGTTCGCAAAGAAAATATACTAAGTTATTATGTACAGTACTTGCGAGTAACAACAAAGCCAAATATTAACGCCCTGGAATAGTAGAAAAAAGAGAGAGAAAAAGAACTCCGTGGGGAAAAAAAAACCCAGAAATCAAGTACTGTACTCTAAGGAGTGACATGTGGTGGAAATGGAAACAATAGACAACATTTTTTTTACCCACCACCCCGGCCTCCCAGAACTTGACCCAACTAGACGAAACTACACAATGAACACCCTCCGGATATGCTGTAAAATAATGAGATTGAATGACAACGGAAAAAAAAAAGGAAAAAGATCCTGGAGTGGAGGTTGAGTTCAATGGTTGAATTACCAGCTCCTCTTGCTCTTCCTGTTTCCTAAGCGTTGTTTCATAGGAGCCTTCTTCTTCTTCTTCTGGACCTTGACCTCTTTGACGGAGCCGCTTTCGAATCCCGAGTCATCGGTATTGCTCCTTTCTAACTTGGGCGCGATTTCAACTACTGGCATCAGTGTCTGCTCGCTGACAATTGCCGCTTGCTTCTCCTGCCCCATAGTAGTCGGGACAAGCTGAACAGGGGCTACACATGGCGAAACATCCTCAGTCACTTGCGGAGCCTCTAGCTTTTGTGGGTCCAAAGGGGCGGGAGTAACAGATGTATCGACGTCATCCTTCGGGCTCTCGGCCTTGTCTGCTCCGATGTCGAGCTCAACAATTTTATCTAGGCTCTCAATGATCACTCCCCAATTACCGGTTCCAACGCTAGAGATCGGGCTGATTGGGGGGCTTCCGTCCCTCTCGGATTCGTCGTCGTATGGGGATGACTCGTCAGAACTGGCCAAGGACTCCTCCATCCGTAATGAGACAGGCTGTTGGATCCGCGCTTGATGCGAATGGCGCTTGCGGGGATCAACGATCTCGCGGACGCCCCGTTTCTCGCAAATCCCAAAAGCTGGGGGTCCATAGGAACGTACGAACACTGGCTCTTCGAGCTTAACCCGGTGTGCCGGGGGGATATATTCCGGTGCCTGAGGGGTAAGTTCTTGGTCTGAGACCTCCCGCTCATCAAGATCCTTTCTCAAAATCTCCTCATCCGCTTCCTCTTCCTCCACGATCCCCTCCAACCCTCGCCCTTCGTTGTGCTTCTTCTCACCCAGTTCATCCTCATCAGATTCTTCGATATCGGAAGAAGCTGACCCGGAATAATCGGAGGGCACCGACTCAGTATATTTTGACTCCATACCGCAACTACAAACTCATTTAGCTCCTTCAACCAATTCCTTAGCTTTCTAGAGCAGGGCTACAAACCTTTCCTCAACATCCTCACTATCGGACCCCGCTACGATTGGTGAACTATACTCCCCCACAGTGAGCGATTCTTGTTTAGCAAGGACCTGAGGAGTCTCTTCGTGTGTCTCCCTGATCGGTGTCTCGGTCTGAACCTCCTCGTGCACAGGTAGGATGAATTCGGGTGATTCCTCTTCGACTCTCAAAGCGGGTTCAATGGCCGAGTCCACATCCTCTTCGGCCTCAGGCTCCTCGACAACCGTGTGGGGGACAATCGCGGCGTCATCCTCGCCCTTTTGCTTCTCCTTCAATCGCCATTAGTACCCCCCACAACTTGATAATCTGCACATATGTGCTGGATATAATCTTGGCATGCATGTTTGAATGCTTACTTCGACAACTCCTTCAACAACAACAGTTTGGACTGGTTCGACGACGATCGGGTTGGCTTCAGCCACGGGAGCAGACTCGGTCACGGGGGGGGATTCGGTCACGGGAGCGGGTTCAGCGCTTGGAGTATGCTCAGGGACAGGAGTGGCGGGGACAAAGGCCAAGTATCGCTTTTTGATATCCTCAATAACTTCAGGTTTTGTCTATGAAGAGTAAACTATTAACTATCTCTTCAAATGGGAAACTCTAAAGAAGGAAATTCTACCTGCTTCAATCGCCATCCCATCTGGGTCGAGATATAAATCGTGCCCATTAGGGATGTGAACAGATAGATAGGCGCCTGGTGCACATGGAAATGATAAGTTAGAGATCCAGCATAGGATCAAGCTTCTTGAACACTGCGTACCAAAGGCAATAAAACACAACACATAACTGCCCAGTATAGGTAAACCAGAGGCGTGAGAAGTCTCGAGTTTGGAGTAGTTGGGGCAGTATAATATGGCAATGGTTGAAACATAGTGTTCCAAAACATTTTTAGTATGTTTAATAGTATTATAAAAACAGTTTCTGAAAGTTTTTGAAACGTAAATGAACTAAGAATGGAAGAAGGAGGAGGAGAAGAAGATTGCTGATAGCTATGAAATTCGATGGAAGCTGGTTCCATATGGTCCATTATGTACTGAAAGACTGGATTAGAAGGCGCGCACGACTAAACTCAGAGTAGAGTAATTTTTTCTTCTTTCTGCTTTCTCTGCCTTGGCGTCAGACCTGGCGTGTATGTATGTATATCGGAGCTAATTGTCCGCATGCCGCTATGGATGTTTATATCGAAAATTCATCGAGCGATAAAAAGAAAAATAAAGATCCTTTCTTCGCCACCGACAGGGGAAGCCAAGTCAAACAACTCAAATCGAAGGAGAATGAGCCAGAGGGAGCCTTTGTGATGTGTTGGCCTAATGTTATTGATTGCTTTCCACCCCCCAACGGCGTTGCTAAGTATATCGTGGGCCAGTAAGAGCTAGTTCGCTTATGCGCCTAACTATTCGAGTACATGGCCGACCCTGGTTGGCGGGGCGGACAGCAGGTTGTTTGCGGGAAAGCAGCTGATTGTCCACGGCCGACGGCGGTTTCCCCGGACAATATTGCCCTGATTCTCACTGCCCGCTTCCATTTTCTAGAGCGACCGTGGACTCTCCTAAGATCCTCTCAAAATTAGCTCTCTGTTGTTTTGTGGGAAAAAAATATTGAAAATATGGATAAGAACGAGCACTAGAACAATTCCTTTAGTGGATGAAATTGTAAAGAATTGGGGACTTTTGAAAAAATAAAAAAATGTGGACGCGAAAAAGCCAACACCAACTCATTGTGTTGATCGGGATCCTGCACATGTGCCCCTATTGTAAAGCCAGCGATGTCGTGCAGGCCCAGTCTCAATCAATATCCGATCTTACGGGAATTTCTCGCAAGATCATTCGATCAGGAAGCGCTTGAGTGTCGACTTGTCAACTTGTCGTTTTGGGTCATGCTTGGGTCGACCGCTTACTCGACCACGAACATCAATTCCGTGGATATTTGTCATCGATGCATCCCAAGGAAGTCCATCCCGTTTCACTCCACAATTTCTTCCCTTCGCTCTTGCCCAGAGTGCCTACTCGAGGCTCGTTCGCTGCACTCTATCATCGTCATCATACCGTCACTAAGAGCGAAACCAGCTAAGAATACAACAAACCCCATGCAGATTTGAACAATTCCACTTTCCTCAAAATTCCCATATATCCACATTGGCGATGATAGCGGCCCGAGCCGGGAATCTGGTTTCGGGAGATTGAGTATTTTCTCCCCGTCCACAGCAACCCCACCGAGGAAAAGAAAAAGAGAAGGCAGCACAGTTCCAGCCCCTTCCGAGAATGGGATGACCAAATTTTTGCCCCTCCACAGTGGCCATTGCGATGAGGGCTATTGGGTCCGACTGTATCGATGATCCGAGTGGGCCGGGGGGGGTGAAAAAAATGTTAAGAAGTTGAGCGGATCATCGGATTGGATCTTGATATCTCTTGGTGCTCCGCGAGATTTGTTTCGTTCGTTTTGCGCCTATGCGTTATATACGAGAATTAGAAATTTCTGTGAAACGATCTGATCAAGTGTTTTTCCGGCTCATCTTACTGAAGAAAGTAGTAACACGGCACTCTTAGAAATTGAGCACATAGCGCGTGATATCACCGACCTGTTCATTACCCTGCGGTAAGCCATGTAAGAAGCGGTAACTTTCTCATTTACCCCGCAGCCCACCGAGCCCAATGGTAGTTTCGTCCTCCGCAATGCCCGCACCTCCACCTCGGAATACAGCAATGCCGAACACCAAGTTTTTTTCTTGCAAATTCCAAGCTAAAGCTCATGAGCACATAAGGCCAAATATCATGTACTTTGGGAGGGAGGGGCGAAAATTGGGATATTAAAGCCGCATATTGCCGCCCCCAGGCCCATCCGAGCGGGGTGGGAGATTATGCCGGCCCGCAATCCCAATCATTTTCGAGAACGTAAGAGCCCATTAAACAGGATCTAAAACTTACTCTGCAACTATGTCCCCGTGCAGTAGGGTAATCGGCCGGCTGTCTCGTTCTCGTATCGTCGCCCTTACGATGTCGAGATTGTGAGCTCTCACACCGATACCGGGACTTCAATTAGAGTTTTTTCCTTTTAGCACGATCCAAAGGACAAGCGGAATATGTAGCTAGTTACCATTGCAGCTAAGGAGATCGGATTAAGCGCTATCTATTAGCACGACTTGTACGATAGCACGGACCCGAGGCCGCGATGGGATACTCCAATACAAGGAAAAAATTTTCGCTGAACCCGGTGATCCTTGAGTTTGTGGGGGGACAGCAGGTTAAAAGCCAATCAGTCTCCGTGCGCGCCAGAACTTACCACCGAGCTGCGTTGTAAAGGTTCTAGAACAAGGCTGTTTGTTCGCACGATTGTCCTCAAAGGTGTAAGTGGGATTTGATTTTTCTTCTCTCCAGACGAAATTCAGGCGCTGCTGGAGAAGTGCACCGGCGCCGATAAGGGCCATTGTGCAGCCGACTAGAATAGGCCAATATAAAAAAGCCCCGAGTCCAGGCCAGCCCTATGATTGCTGTGGGCCAGTTAACCGATACCATATGATACACTCGGACCTGGCCCAGCCCGGTACTCGTACTCGAGTACTAAGTACTTATATCATAACTTAGAACCCGGTATCTCCTTGTGGCTTGATAAACACGTGATTTTCGAATGGAGGGTGGAAGACATGATGGCCCCGCAGTGTCACAGCTTCCGCTGCAGTGCTATGCCGGTAGAACAGCGGATCATTGTATCGAAGCCACCTTATGGAAGCCATCCTAATACTATACATACTGGTAGAGATAAGTGATGGGAACACTTCTTCCCCCTGGATTGGGGAGGAACACACCCGAATCCCCACTCTTAACCTCACCATGATACATCAACCCTAACGTATCATAAGGGGGAAACCACTCATGACAGGGATTCCGCTCAGCACTTGGCGCCAAGGATAACGTGACCTTATTGCATGTAAATAGAGGATTTTGAGTGGGGAAGTGAGGGAAGAGCAACAACCGGAGTACACAATGCCTCACGTAAGATGAACAGACCTCAATGAACAAGAATAGTTTATTACATTAGCGATTAACCATTATTGAAGCTCATCAAAGCCTTTCCTCCAAGAGTCACCAGAAGCCTAAGGTATCCCATGGACAACACTGAGAGACTATGTCAATAGGGCCCAAGATCGCCATGAAAGCCACTGGGGACAGCAATTTCTATCAGTACAGGAGGAAAAAACAATAGTTAATTGGTGTACTTGAATGGATGACTGGGAATTTCCCTTAAAGCTACCACTTGTTCATGAAATAGCTGAGTGCTTAGTAAAAAGAAGAAATTGTCGTTGGAGTCTGGGAAAGCACTGGCTTAGCAGGTTTCTAAACCATAACCCTGAACTCTCCTCCAAGTTTACTGCAAGACTAGAGAGGCAGCAAGCTTTCGCTGAAAATCCAGAAGTAATTAAGGACTATTTTTCTAAGATATAGTGATCTATGATGTGATAATATAAGTACTAAAAGAATTGCCAGCTACAATGAGTTATTAAGCGCCATGACATATCACCTGAGAATATGTATAATATGAATGAAAAGGGATTCATGATTGGGGTAGCGGCATGATGCAGAGTAATCTGTCAGAAGGGTAGGAGAAATCCAAAGTTAACCTATAGTGGAAGTGGTGAATAGGTTACGGATATCGAAAGTGTGTCTGCTATAGGAGTAGTGCTACCTCCCATGGCAATCAATCAGGGAGTGGGCTACTATAAGGGGTGGTATGCAGGTATTACTGGGAAAGAGATTGCTACCTTTGGATATTCACTAAAAGGATAAACCGATAGTTTTTTGAGAATGGAATGGCTTCAAAAAAAACTTTGAGGTTTAAACAACACTAGTGTATATTGCCTATATGAATTGTTTATTAACTAAGAGCTGAGTTTTATTGACTAAATACAATTGAATCCAGGGCTGAAGAGAATTGGTGGTTACTAATCATGGATGGTCATGTATCTCATATTACATGGGAGTTTTTCAACTATTATCTTTACCAGATAATAGTTCCCTTTTGCCTACTACCACATTTTACCCATCTGCTACAGCCATTAGATATAGGGCTATTTAGTCCCTTACAGTGTCATTATAGCAATTCTCTTGATGAAGTAATGGAAGAAACCTTTGATACTGGTAATAATAAGAGCACCTTTCTTAAGTACGCACTTTTCCTACTATTTAATATTATTTTTATACTATTCTAACTACTATTTTACTATGGGCAAATATTTATTTAAAGCAAGAAAGTGCACTTATACTAAAAGTAATATTCTATGTCCCTGGAAGGCAGCTAGAATTCACTGCTTCAATTCATGACACCAAAACCATCCTCACCACTGAAGCACCACTTTGTCACTCCTGGTCCAACAACACCTTGTACAACTTATTTGGAATACCAGGACCCGATATCTAGGAACCACCCTAAGTAGGGTAACTCCACTCATAATTGGAATCCTTGGTTTGCAACACTGCTCTCCGGCCCCCTTACTGGGCTCGCATGTCGTCATACTTATTGATCTCAATTATGTCCTGTGACTATAATGCCACAGAATAGAAAGTATAAGACTAATACTGTATATGTCGCTACCATTTGTCTGACCAGATTCTGTTCACAGGGTATATGGGAGGGGACCCTCAGCTAGGTCTAGGAAGTAGAATGGAGTATATCCATATGTTACTCAAAGAGTTATTAGGCTTCAAAGATATGACATCTTTGGTAAGGGGCATTAGGTAACAGGACATTTTTACATAAAAAGATAGTATTCAATGGTAAAGGATCTCAACGAGAATCTAATACATTTGCATACACCCTATGACAATCAGAAGAGTCTAGAACTCCAAGGAACACTACTACAGAAGCTAATAGACTTCACAGAGTGTTATGACTGCATCCAAGAATGCACTGTAGTTGTGGGAATAATTCCTACTACTAAAATAGTAATTGAAATCCTGGTACCCAGAACAACCAAGAATTGCTGACCGAGGAATTATCTGTCAATCTAGTAGAATAGCTTCCTGCGAATTAGTAGGAAGTCTTCCAGAAGATATCTGTTAGTTGAATATGGAGTTATAAAGGTTTGAAGTCAGGCGATATAAAAAGATTGCAATTATGACTAACTTCGCAGCTACAACCCGCAGATGAAACTGATCATTTCATCAATGATGGAGACAATTGGGGCCAACTCAGTTCGGCTTGAGAACTAGGCTATAAGTCTAAAGACTCTGACAATCAGATAATTACTATTGGGAACAGTATGATTCCCAGTTAGCTATATTGCAATTACCGAAGAGGGTGTGGTGATTTTCAAGGTCTTCAGGTATTCGCACGTTGAAGAATACCCAATGTCGTGAGTTATAATCAGAGAGGTATATAGTTGTATAATAGATAGATGTAGTCCACGAACACTCAGATGCAGAATATAAATGTCGAAGTGCCTCTCAAGCTTTTAGACATTATCAAGTAATGGAGAAGAGACCTTAACAATATAATATTGTCTTTATGATTCTACTCTACTTTATCTACTTTACTTCACTCTTAGTAGTCACAAATGAAACAAGTAAAGTTCGAGCCTTCCTGGACAATCTCCATCTACAGAAACAAATCTTGGTTGGCCTAGACAACTCTCAAGTCTATCAGGTTGTCTCTGCCTAACACAACTCGAATGGCAAGATCAACTACCAAGGAGGTGCTACGCCTGGTCGAGGGAACCTCTGAAAGTGCTCAGAAGCTACGCTCTCTTGTTCATAAAATGGATAATGGGCTACAGTCTTCCTTAACTGAAAAAGAACTTGGTGATTATTTTCCAGCAATCTGTGGCTCAAAAATCACAAATCAATTATGGAGACAGAAAAAGACTATCTAAGGATCGAGTTATCACTACTATCCAAAACGGTCAAAAAAAAAAAAAAAGTCCAAATCATGGATACGGTTACTGTCCACACTATTGAGGACGATCCCTGGGTGGATGAGTTTACTGAGGCTATTGGGAATATGGAAATAGAGGTGGGGGCAGAGCGGGATGGTTATGATAGTTTTGTGAACCGGACACCATTGCCAGCACGGAAGCGGGTGAATAAAGCTTGGGAAAGCGTACAGAAAGTCTGATACACTGATTCTCTCTAGATAGATTTTTTTTTGGTATTTCTTCTTTTTTTTCTTACTCGCTTCTTTACAAATTTCTGTTGTTGAAGGTAGTCTTCAACTCTGCATGGCCCCCGAGCGGAATCCCTGTCTTGGGCGGTTTCCCCATATGATACGTTAACTGCCGATGGATACTGCGGTGATATGATAAGCTGGTGTATCTGATCGAAGACTGTCCCGCAACTGTATGTCTATATTGAGCTATTTTCTCCGTCTGGAACCTTTAATCTCCATGTCCTTTAGGGGTCTAATGTAAAGTCCCCAGAGTAAGAGTCCTGGTGAAATGGTGAATAGGAATGTACTTGTAAGGGAGACAACTATGTGCTGTAGACCTCATGCTCGGGTATAGTAAAATTTTAATTATATTAGCCATGGCACCCGAGACATCCTACCAACAGCTTATATTAACCATTAACCATGTTGAGAAAGGCATGAGACTTGTGTTTTTCGCGATTTTTCGGAAAATTTTGACCATCCACCATATAACCGGCCATTCCTCCTGATCAACGATACATTAGCAAAAGCCATTCGCCTCATATACTCGAGTAGATCGCATTATAATACATGTACGGTAGTAGCTGGTATTGCTAGGTTCCCTATTCCTCTTATCCCTCATGTAGTATTAGTAATTTTTTTAAAAAAAAACCCTGAGGACATCATGGAATATTTAGCGAGATCAATGCATGCTTGTGGATAGCATTATTAACCCGTATCTTACGAAAGCCGCGTGAGATGTCTAGTGTGGTGAATGGTTCCTAGAAGTCGCATAGGTATTTCGGTATGGCCCAATGCCTCATGTGAGCCCCGGTGTGTCTCCTTTTCTCCCAGAGTTTTTTCAACTTGGATATGGGCTCTTACCACCCAAATTTTTTGGTATCATATACCGGTATTTAAACAGGCAAAATATCCATGGAATTCAAGCCCATGGATCCTAAGGTAGACCTGTCTATCTTCAAACACCCCAGACCTCAATAATAGGGCTCAGGCAGACGGACCAGTATTCGTGAGTGCTCCCAAGATATGATGTCTGGAATCTGGGCTACGATGCTGGTGCAAGTCCCATTAACTTTCACCCCGCAGAGAGCTTGTGATCCGAGAGTAAATAACAATGATCCAATGGTATTCGCTATGAGAAAACCCAAGTGGAAAATTCAACCAATTAGCAAACCACTCCGCCAAAATAAGGGGGACACTGACAAACACCTTTTTTTATGCCAAAACTAAGCTTGGGATAATGCCGGTACTGTACATCAGCCCGTGGAGTAAAGCCATTCGGCGAAAAGGTAGCCTGCAAGAGCGAAGAAATCGATGTACTACAATGTTTCGGAATATGCACAGGCAAGTCCAGCCTGGCATACCGATACGAGTACTGTACTCGAGTACCCGAAGGCGGTACTGTACCTAACAGAGGGCACCTCGCCCTACGGAACACGGCATGCGTCGCTAGCTTCTTGCAGTTCTCGAGCACAGTACTGATATGTACCGAACCAGATAACACCAGGCAGCACAGTCGATACCGAATCGCCTTTGAGCATGCCGAACGCCTCTCAGTCTAACCTCCGAAATAATTCCGAAACCGAAACCCAGGGACAGGAAGACAGGGATGGACTGTCCAGGCACCCCAATTTGAGCACATTAAAATACTGTGCCTGGCATTGGAGCTAAGCACCCTAATATAATCCGCGATCGGTCCCAGGGAGGGCGATCGGTCGGTTTGGTGCGGTACCGTACTTGTACAGTACTCGTACAGTGGCCTGAAATCATTAACTCTCAATCTCTCCCGTATTATCCAAACATGGTTCCGGGAATGCCTGTACTCGAGTATTGCCGGTATCTTGCTTTCACCATATCACAACTCGCGATTTGGTGTAGAAAGGCTTGCAGCTAGTTGGCCGATTCGCAGACTCGCAGACTCGCAGGCATAGGCCAAGAAATGCATGTTGGACCAGGGCCCCTGGCAGGAGACTTAAGGTGCGTGGGTGAGTGAACGCTAGCGGATGAGAGAGCCTCTTTACCCAGCACCCGACAGACGCCATCATTGAGCCGCAACGCCGAAATTCTCCCCGCGGGCTTGCCTTGCGGAAAACTCCTGCGATGGAGGCCGGTCATCTACCCGCGGCACCAGCAGTCTTGGATTGACTTATCATACTTTTGGCAACGAGTTCCGGTCCCTAAGAGCTCCGACTCCTCGAAACATCAACCCTCGCTGACGTACTCGTACTCTCAGACTACCAGCTTGTCGGCTTGTTTCATGCATCCCCCCACTTTTCTGGCGCCGCAATGCCCCGACGGATAGCCCCGCGAGCCAAGGCCAAATTTCACCTCTCGTTCGACCCTCGTTGCGTGGTGTAGTCTACTGTACCAGTAAATTATCAGCAGCTCCGAGGAGTTCGTCAAGATGAACTATGATATAACTTACAATACTGTACAGTATAGTATTGTGGAGTATTCCATTGAGCATTGAGCAGGGCATCTTTAGCATACAACTGAGTAGACTAAAGGCACAAAAGCACGGCATCGCGAGTAGAGAGGTACCTTCAAGGGCATACAAATATCGGGTAAAAAGAGCCATCTCTGAAAAGGCCCCTGCTTCAGAAGTACGGCGCATGGGCACAGCTTTGGTGTGCGGGAATTGCCGTTACAAGTATGTTCCTGAACTGCAGCCGTATTGTGATAGCCAGGCACCGAGCCTATCCGAAAAAAAAAAATACCTTGTGGGACCATGGGTTGCTCACTTTCAGGAATTATCCAGCTCAAGCCCTAGTGATATATCTCTCTTATAGCCACCTTTGTTGGGAAAGCAGACACATAGAAGAGGGCCATTGTACCAAGAGGGATGTTTTCGTACAGGGAAAGGAGTATTTTGCAGGTTGACCTGAGTTGACTACCGTACCGTATTCACTACCTTTCCAGTGGGTACAGTACCTGTGCCTTGAGCTAAGTGCATGCCAGAAAAGACGGTGCTTGCCGCGCTGATAGGAAGGACTTTCCCGTCGCCCTCTCACAATAAAGACTTTGCGGTGGATGTATCAAGGATCCCTGCATGTCAAGAACTCAGATTTTGCAGCTGGATACGGGCATGACTTTGCGGTGGATCACTCTCAAGCCGTGTCCATAGCACGCTGCTATGCACTGATGCACACTGATAAATCTCCAGCTCGGTAAGCTCTAGCTCAAACTCAAACTGCGCAAGGTCAACATGGCTCATTCTGTGGCTCCTCAGGTTTCAACAATGAAAGGAATTTTCAAAAACGGGGTGGCATTGGTGGTGTTACGGGGGGTCAAAGTCGTTGAGGTCAAATTGGTTGAATTTTTGCTCTTGTCGTGGAGTCAAATCAAGGTCTGGATAAATCAGGGCTTGGTCTATGCAAGCCGAGATCGGTAAAAATGACTCTGGATGTGTCCACCGCAAAGTCTCTAATAAATGACTCCAAGAATGGGGAGACGCTATGGTGACTATCTGGATTTGAATTTCGGAAATGTGAATGTTTTTGCCCCTACAACGCTTTGTCGGGGATGTGACGAGATTAGCTATCCCACTTACGCAACTTAGGAGAAAACACGGGAAGCCGGACATAAGCCAAGTAAACCTCATCATTTTCTCCTCCGCCGGGAACTCACACAAGTACCGGTATCATAACATACTGACCTCCCACTCGACTACCCTGCGAAAGGAAAGATTGTGTGTGATACGGAGTTTCCATATCTAACAGAAGGCCCTGTGACGAGCGAACTCGAAAACGTGAGGATCCCAGCCCTGTTTGCAGTTCTAACACCGGTAGTATCGGAGTGGACAAGCTTATCTTGGTGTGACATCGGGGACAGCGCCTCATCTGATCTTGCCAGGAGCGATTGAGATTTCCGCTACCGATACTTTAATAGTGCCCCCACAAACCCCCACCCTGTGGAAGAAAATAAAAACAAATACGATACGGGATTGGTACCGGCATCTACTGTACATGGAAACTCTCGGCGCTCAACCATATAACTCCTCTCCACTGAAAGGGAAGCTTGTCTTCGTTCCTCGTCCCCCTCCTTTCCTATCCCACACCAACCTCAGCGAGTTGTTGTCTATTCCCTCTCTACACTCCCCGCTGCGTAGCCGTGTATCCTTCGCATACTGACAGCAAGCATGCCGAAGCGTTGGTCACTGGGAGTTCTAGAGGGCCCTGATACAGAGGAGGTTCCAGGTTTGACCCCTTCCTTCTTGTTGGCTCTATCAACTAGCTAATCGGAAGATCAGGTACCGTTCTTTTACTCTCCCCCACTAGACAGGAACCACTTGGCTTTGAAACGATTAAGAGCGAAGGAAAGAGGACACCTGATGGAAAAATCATCCTGAACCCGCAACCAGATGATCATCCAGATGACCCTCTAAACTGGGCCACATGGAGACGAGATTTTGCCCTTCTATCTTTGGGTTGGCATTGTTTAGTCGGTGGTGGACAAGCCCCTGCCCTTGCTGCTGGGTGAATTGCCCCGGAAAATGCTTTCATTTCAATCACCTCACGGCTAACCAAACATCTTCAGATTCAATGACGTTGCCAAAACCTTTGGGGTTACAAAATCAGAGGTTGCATTGACAACTGGTGAGTTATCACTCGCGTTCAACTAACCTTACCCTACCTTGGGGCTGGAGCCTCCATAAAACTAAACACCCCCCATGCGCCTATGGCCGATTTGAAGATGGCTGGGATGGTATCGAAACTGATATTTCTCAGGCCTCTACATGATGGGGATGGGCATCGGTTGTTTGGTCTCTTCGCCAACGGCTATCATCTTCGGGAAACGGCCTGTCTATCTTTTCGGAGTAGTGCTGTTTTTGGCCGCCTCGATATGGTGCGCTGCGTCCCAATCTTATGGGTCGCTTATGGCAGGCCGTATAGTCATGGGCATTGGAGTGGCTCCTTGTGAAGCACTCCCTAGCGCTACAATTGCGGAAATATTCTTTCTTCATGAGAGGGCCTACAGAGTGGGAATATATACCTTGCTCTTGCTCGGAGGAAAAAACTTGGTTCCTTTGGTTAGTGCAGTCATCATCCAAGCCTTGAATTGGAGATGGGTGTTCTGGTGAGCTATTCCGGGATACGATGTAAATCATCCAAATCTAATCCTATTGGATAGGACGGTCGCGGTCATCGTCGGGTTTAATCTGTTCTTGCTGTTCGTCTTCCTGCCGGAAACGTTTTGGGACAGAACTCCGAGACCAAGCACCCAACCATCCGAAAAGTCGTCGCGTACATCCTTAGGCGAGTATGTACGTAATGCAAGGGTCTCGTATCTCAAGGACAGAGTAGTCAATGATCTGACAGAGCCGTCTCAGCCCGCTATGCCGAAGCCTTTCATCCAAAGTTTAAGGGTTTACAGTGGCGTCCTTCGACACGAATCCTGGGTCAAAGCTGCGGTTAGGCCAATAATTCTGTTCTCTTACCCAGCAATTCTCTGGTCTACTGTGGTTTATTCCTTCTCTGTTGGCTGGCTTATCGTGCTCTCTGAAACGGTGGCGCATATCTATCAAGAACAATCTTATGACTTTTCCCGCCTTGCAACTGGATTGGTTTACATATCCCCCTTCATTGGCGGAATAATTGGTACTGCCGTAGCCGGAAAGGCATCCGATATTATTGTGAGAGCGATGAGCAGAAGGAATGGTGGAGTTTACGAGCCCGAGTTTAGATTAGTAATGGGGATTCCTGTCGCAATTACAACAGCTATTGGATTAATGGGGTATGTTCATTCTAACCTTGGTCCTAGAGATTGCTCACCATGTACTAGTTTTGGATGGTCTGCGGAAGAGCGCAACAATTGGATTGTCCCTACTGTCTTTTTCGGCTTGATTTCGTTTGGGTGTTCTCTTGGCAGTACTACAGCCATCACCTTTTGTATTGATTCTTACAGACAGTACGCCGGTGAAGCCCTAGTCACTCTTAACTTCTCCAAGAGTATATCCTCCGTCCCTGGGGAAGGTGCAGGTGCTGCATACTAACTGCTATTTACAGACGTATTCCATGGATTGGCGTTTTCTCTATTCGTCAATAGGTGGCTAGAGAAAGACGGTAGCAAGACTGTTTTCATTGCATTAGGTGCACTACAAATTTGTGCATTACTATTCACGATTCCACTATATATTTACGGAAAGCGTTTACGCCTTTGGACCCATAGGAGAGTTTTGATGCAGGCATGGACCTAATCCATCCGTTGCAGTGTCTACGGTGCGACTTCAGAGCGCAGGGTCCCATGAGGTTCCAAGGGTAGGGTTGCTAGCTATGGGGTTTGGGGCCGCATACATTCTTATTTATACAGCATGGTCATTTCACCCTTCTCTGCCTTTTTTATTTCCTCCTTATCACCTTGCCTCCGAAGGGATTGGCGATGGCTTACATCGCATGAGATGAAAATTTCACGAATTATCTACAATCTGGTGTCTGCAGGAACGCTCCAAATCCTCCAGGTTAACCCGCGGGCAGTATGGTAGGTGTTTGTAGGAGGACACTAGTTGCGCTCGGGCCGTCTGTCGGATCCGCGGGGCCTGTTAATGTTGGATTGGTGAAGATAGTGAGTTGTGGTCGTTCGTGGAAGGTAATTTGCCAGATTGTTGTGGGAGGTTTCTTTCATTCTGGAGTTAGGCTATGGTGATTTACGCAGATGCTCTCCAGTCATGCCTTTACTTTGCTATCACAGGAGCATGCAAGGGAATTGGGATATGCCTGGAGGAAACGGATGTGTGGTAAATTTAATCCACGGAAGGACTAAGATGATCGAATTATGTCTATATACACTTCTATCCTTACCATTAGCTTGGTTGGGGAGACGAGCACAAGGGCGAGAGGGGGGCGAGGTGAAGCATGCGACCATGCGTCTCCTGTCTTTCGTCTAATTATCATACTTCATAGCAGCCAAGTCCCGTTCCACTGAGCTCGCTTTACCACCACGCCATTTACTAGTTATTCCCAAAGAGTTTCTCAGCATGTAACCAGCACCGAAGATTACGCTATGGGGAACCTGGGCGAACGAGAAAAACAAAGGGCCGGTACATAGAGTCCCCGCCCACTTGGATATCTCAACAAGCGTATCGCCCGCAGTTCTATATTCAATTCCGAGGCCCTCAAGCACCATCAAAGCAGTAAGCGTGCTGCGCAGCCCGATGTTATGCACTATCGTAGAGGCGTTTGCCACCAGCCCTACCGGTATTAGCCACTCCTCCCAAAGCTAATAAATACTCCCAAAGTGACAACCCGTGACTCAGACAACCAAATGATTTCCCGCGGCGAAAAGATTTTCTTTACCCTTCCGAATCCGGGGATCGAGCCGGGGATCTCGGCGTCAGCATAGGTTTTAGTGAGTTGGCTGCGTTAAAAATAAGGTTTTTTTATTTTTTTATTTTTTTGCCATGCATAGGGCAGACGACTGGACGACGCCTGGCTCATGTGTAGACTATGGTAGGGTTAGAGGGGGAGAGCTTTTTCTAGGATTTGTATTTTGGTGTTTTTTTTGCTGTCTACCTTGGGGGTGCCATGATTTGTGTATGGTAGGTTGTAGAGAGCACAGCACAACAAACATACGGAGGTACAGCATATAAGTTTTGTAGATTTTGCTAGCAGGGGTCTGCTGCAGACAGGGAGGTAAGTGCAACAAATCAAGTATAGTGGCTTGGAGCCGGTCAAGGGGTGCAACTTGAACGGAAGTCATGAAGGTACAGTACAACATGAAGATACAGCACCATAATCAGTTTTATTCTACTCGTACATATCTAATATTTCATGAAGAGGCCATTTGCCTCAACAACCACTTAATACCTGGCCAGCATGCTCTGTATCAGCTCTCTAAATTCATGCTGGCCAACAGAACCCCAAGCTTTCTTAACTGTCTTCCTGTCACGAATGTGGCTTGGCGAGGAAAAGGTTTTCATGTGACACATGGTTATGAGTCACAGGTATGTTATTGTTTCACACATATGACTCATTCGAGTCATATGATTTGTTATGTGTGGGATTTGTGATGCTTTTGCATATGGCTCAAATATGAGTCATGGGACATGCACCTGACAAGTATGCCTTGCGAGTGTGCCTTACAAGTATGCCTTGTGCATATGATTTATGTTTTGCACATGACCTTGTTATGAGGTCATGGGTTTCACACATATGACTCAGTCGAGTCATATGATTTGTTTATTGTGTTATGATTGGTTTATGAGTTTTTGCACATGACCTCGCTATGAGGTCATGGGTGTTAAGCATGTGACCATCTTGGTCATATAACTAGTTTGTTATGATTTGGTTTCACACATGTGACCACTTTGGGTCACATGACTATGGGCGGGAAGAACACTATATAAGGAGGCCGATACGGCCGAGAAAGATAGGTTCTTCACGCTTTATTGTAAGTACTTTTCCTACTTATTACTTTAATGAATATAAAACACCTTTACAATCTTTATCTTTATTGCAATGTTATCATTATGCCAAGGAGAGCTCTTCACGAAGAAGAGTTAGAGAAAGCTTACGATAGGCATTCCCGATAGAAGACAAAGGTCTTGTACTATTGGTAACGTAGGCAGAGGCCTAGTGCTATCGTAAGACTAAGGAAAGAAACAGAAGAAGAGAAGTATGGTTCCCCATCGCTAAGAACTAGCTATCCAAGGAGGGATCATTACATTACAAAGCGTCACCTAGTGTGACGCCAAACGATACAAGACGGCATCCTTCAACCGAGACAGGGAAGGAGATATCGACCTCGACGATCAAAACCTTAACCTAGGGAAATTTAGTGACGCCTTAGATCACGTTTCAGCAGAGCCCTTGAGGGCAGCAAGCCCAGTAACTCCAGAGAAAGGATCACCAGTCGATAGCTCTCTTGCAAGAACTCTACGACTCGAGAGAATGTCAGGATCAGCAGTACCCAGGCCACTGGCTCCGGCCACTCCTGCACCAGGCACTAGTATACATGGAATGACTGAGAATCAGTTTCAGACATTTCTAGCAGTAACACGAAACACATGACAAGGAAACATCTAACAACCAAAAGCAAAAGAAGCCGACATATACGAAGGAGCTGAAGATAAGCTATGAATATTCCTGGCACGATTCGAAGGGTATTTTGCCATTAAGAAATATGGAGAACACCATGATGAGATCAAGATTCCATATGTGGAATCTCTACTAAGAGGACTCGCAGGGCAATGGATTATACCATTCTAAGATAGAAGGAAGCAGAGGGAATGGGTCACGTACGAAGAGTTCGAGGCGATACTCTTCGAACAATTTGGAGATCCCAACGCCAAAGAGACAGTAAGACGAAAGCTGGAAAAACTCTAACAAGGAAAACAAACCTTTTCAGCATACTGGAATGAATGCCGACTATTGGAATACGAGGCCAAGTTTGATGATGCTACCCTCTACATCATCCTCTTGAGAAACTGTAGTGAGAGACTCCGAGAAGCGTGGGGAATCTCCGACTCACGTTACACCATAGCAGAACAATTTGCAAGATGGGCCATCGATAAGGAAAGCAAGCTAAATATGGTTCGAAACAACTCAGAGAATACTATAGCACACAGAGTGGCTCAATCATCCAGGAATGTAGATGGAACCTTCAAACAGCAAGCAGCTCAGGGTGAAAGTCGAGCATTACCACTAGGCAAGCCAATGGAGTTGGATAAATCAAGGGCAAGACCTGCTCTGAACCTGTCTAAGGAAGAAAACTTCAGAAGAATGAACGGAAAACTCTGCTTATGGTGTGGAAAAGCAGGACATCGGATATGAGAATGCAGAAGCCAACCCGACAGTGGATACCAAGGCACCAGAGCTGCTGGAAATAATCGCTTCCAAACTTAAAAGAGGTGCAACATTCGCGAAATAATCGCAGAAGATATACCGGCAGAAATCGACCAGGATCCCCAGTAAATAGTAGTATGGAAGACCCAATATGTGGACCTGGAAAACCCATCAAAGTAGCGAACTACTAAACAGCACTACACATGCAAAGAGGAGAAGAAGACGGAGATCATGTGATGATCAAGATGAAGATATACAATGAAAAAGACGAAGAAACAACAACATATGCAATGCTTGACTCTGGGGCTACCGAAGATTTCATCGACAAGGTAATATGCGACAAATACGGCCTCCACACCAAAGAAGCGAAGAAAGCGAGACAGGTCTATCTAGCAGATGGAAAGTGAAGTGCGATGGGTCCTATAACCCATACAGCGACAGTACTTATTGACATTGACAGCCATAGGGAAACAGCAACCTTTCAGGTAGCAGATCTCAAGAACCATGAGATAGTCCTTGGGATGCCATGGTTGCAAAAACATAATCCGACAATCGATTGGAACGAGAACAAGATGACCTTTACAAGTGAACTATGTACGACACGATATCTTAACAGTTCACCTGTGGTCTACTCGATACTGGTACGAGAAGCGGAAGAAGAAACTTTGCATGTAAAGTTTGCCGAGATGCTACAAGATAAGAGAGTCTGGATACAAAAACGGTACCAAGAGGCAAAAGTACCTACCAAGGGTTCCAAAGGGGCAGCAGAATATGACCTGTATACCTATGAAGAAATCAAGATACCTGCCTATGGGCAGGCAATGATAGCGATAGGAATAGCCATCAGACTATCAGATGGTACATATGGATGGATAGCACCCCGCAGTGGTCTAGCAGTCAAATATTGACTCATGACCATGGCAGGGGTGATCGACGTTGACTATAGAGGTGAAATCAAAGTGGTCATGGCCAACCTGGCTTAAGAGGACTATGAAGTCCAAAAGGCGATCGAATTGCACAGTTGATCATTGAAGAAATCAACAAAGAAGATCTCCACGAAGTAGATCAACTGGAAGAAACCACAAGAGGAGACAAGGGATTTGGAACCACAGACTAAAACCATCCTGATACAACAAAAAGAATCGAGATCAAAGAGATCACAGCACAAGCCTTTGGATGGTACTATCGAAGAGGAGATACAAGAGGAATTCTCAAATGGATATACGAAGACGAAAAAGCAGTCCTAGTGAAAATCAACATCAGTATGGAATTAGCAATCCAAGACAAGAAATACTAAAGCAAAAAGGGATGGAAAGAATTAATTCCAAAGGAATATCACCAATTCACCAACCTATTCCAAGAAAAGGAAGCTACAGAGCTACCACCTTGAAGACCAGGAATCGATCATGAAATTCAG